TGGCAACTCTAGAACATTCTGAAGTTTATCGCTCATTCTCTTTCTCTCGCTGTTCGCAGTGTTCATCCAACTTGACGTTTCTCTTTGTAGAACATTCTACGTCATTCTTCGAACATTCTGCCTATTTCTCGTTGTTCGCTTTGTGTTGCCGCAGTATTCGCCACAATATTTTAAATTAAGTGGCAGCCTCACTCCTTGTCAATGATCCCTCACAGCTGATCGAAAAAATCCCTTTAATTTGCATGTGCCAACAAAATAGTGATGTGCTGAGTCGGTACGTTGAAGTATTGATCGACACTCGGTACCGATTTAAAAAGTATCCAATACTTTCGATACTCGGTACCGAAACGTTTAGGCTTCCAATTAGAACGCATGTATACCAAAAATAAAAGCGGTTTAGAGGAGCCTAGCTTATCAAAAGAAAGTGCGGAGAAAATCTTCCTTATTTGAAACATTTGTTTCTAGATGAATCGGACGATGTCATCTTTGTAGGCCGGAAAAACTTCCTTCATCCCTCAAAGCATTTTTCTTACGACATTTTACTGTTGCGACAATATTAAGAAGGCGATGAGAGTGTTTTGATAGTGGTTTCCACATTGCTTAGTACAAATTGTTCAACTTTTAGGAAAGCATCGTCTTACACGTACTAATTGTAAAGCATATTCATAGTCGAAATAAAGTCGATGCAACTTTTTTGACAGATATTCTGCTGAAAATTATGTCAAAAAGCTGCAATTATGTACAGAATCGGTATTGGGTAACGAAAAGGAAGTATTGGGTACCGAAATCTTCCTGAAGTATTGGGTACCGAGTATTGGGTACCGGCAATTCAGCACATCACTACAACAAAAGACAAATTTTCATTTGTTTTTAATGTTTTACACAAATATAAATAAGTGTATGGAATAAGCCACGCGTTCAATAGCCAATAACATTGCAAATAAAGCAACAAATATCCTAGTCAATTTATACAATATAGTAGTTTAGCAAGGTTATCATTTGCAAAGATGTTTATCTAAAAAAAATCGAACGAATTGATTAAGTATTACAAAATTACATTGAATAGTTGCTAAGTAAACGCGTTTACTCGAGCAATGGTTTCGGCAATACACAAACGCCTGGGGGCTTTATTTATCGTGTTAATATTTTTGTACCTCTACATGCGCTTTTTTACGAATTATGTTGACTTTACCTATGTAAGTATTATCATTAAACTAAAGTAAACAGAAGACGCATAGCCGGTATACCACTCTCACTTTTTAAATTAGTTCCACCAAACCCATGAACGCACAGCCGGAACGCCCTTATTAGTGACGGTGTATTACGAGGCACTATGTGGTGATTCTAAGCATTTTATAATCAGGCAATTGTTACCAGCTTTTAAGCAAGCTGAGCCACTTATGGAAATTCAAATGATACCTTATGGCAAGGCAAAAACTTTCACGGAACCAGATGGCACATATCGTTTTGAATGTCAACATGGAAGTGTCGAATGCGAAGGAAATATGTATCATGCATGTGCTATTGAAGCGATTGAAAGTACAAAGGATCGACTTAATGTTATTGCTTGTATGATACGTGATAATAGAGCGCCCAAGGAAGCTATGCATAAGGTATGAATTATTAGTACGAGAGTTTGGGGTACCTAAAGTACCGAGGTTTCAAATAACATATGTACATCCACACAACACAACAGAATTACACTTTAATATGAACATCTGTAGTTTTGTTTGCTTTCATGGCCAAAAAAGCCATTCACATACTAAACAACTCAATTTATACAAGTGTGCATATACATATTAATGAAGATGTACATTACAAGATCTGTAAATAATTATAAACTTATGTACATTAGCACGTGCAGTAATAAAACTTTTAATTTTTATTTTTTAATTACAGTGCTCCCGTCAATATGGCATTGAAAATACTGATCTCATACAGAAATGTTTCAATAGCAGCCATGGCGGAGAATTGCTAAAACTCTACGGTGAAGCTACGGAGGCACTTCGGCCGCCAGTTAAATTCATACCTACTATAACACTAGATGGATCCCAATTTCGACAGGCAACTATTCTAAAAGATCTACTAGGTGAAGTTTGCAGAACTCTTGGGGAGACAGAGCAAACGAAAAAGTATTGCATTTCATAAAATAGCGCGGTGGAAAACTTCCTAAAGAATAAACGTGCATATTTTATTACCACATAAAGGCCAGAAATATGTGTAAGCCACCTTGTCACGATTACTAAGACATTATTGCATTTCAACAAATTTCTCAATATCTACTTTCCAATATTGAGGTGTATTAGTGCAAGAAATCCTCAGCCTGCACAAAACAAACCATTTTAAAAATTTTAGTCATAGATGTACATACATACGTAACCCAATTGCATACTCATTAAAGTGACAAATGTAAATACATACATGCGGAATTATTATAAAAATTCATATATATATATTTTTCAGATATACAAGTGCCGTGTAAAGCATTTTATTTGAGAGAAATTGAATAAAGTAAAGCATTTAGTTACGTTTGTGAATCTACAACTTTATATAGCAATGCTGGTCATACATATTTGCCACTACAAAGAATTCGCAAAGTTGATAATACTAATATTTATAATGCATAGCTTATCTGAAGTACATATGTATGTGCTGAGAACTCCAGCACCCAACTTGGAGAGGAACTGATATTGAGCACAAGAAAATTGGTCTTGTGTGATTTCTTAGAAATCGATTATTTATACAAACATATGTATGTATGTATGCATATCATAGAAAAAATTGACTACATATATCTACTTTCTTTAAGTACAACTTTATTAACAACTACTAAGGCGTCTCAATTACTAATAATTGCTTTCTCAGCAAGTATTTTTAACATTTTTATGCACTTATTAAAGAATAAAAGGACACCAAGCGTTTCCATACAAATTTATACAAGCACATGTACATTAACGATTGCGATTAAACTTCATTAACTAACAGTTATATCACTTTGTGTGATATAAATATTTATGTTTTCATCAAGTACACCAGCTTTGTCGGTTGGCTTTGAAGTGAGATGTGCACCATCGGCGGCACTATCCCTTAATATAAGCGAAAAACGCTTCATAAGACAACTTTTGGCGTCACATAAGCTCAAAGCAATATCCAACTTCACCTCTTCCTCTGTCGGCAGAAATGAAGCTATACGCTCGAGCTGCAGCTGCATTGTGCCATTGTGGATTTGTCCTGAAGTGGCAGAAGCTCGTAAAGCTGGTGCTGCGCTTTTCAGTGTCCAACGTTGTGGCGCTCCATCAGTTAATGTTAGCTCGTTGCTAAGGTTTATATTCACGCGCAATTTCAACTGTACGCAGGCACGTAATGGCACACGTTTGAGCAGCTGTAAGCTCCCACTAATCAACGAATCTGTTTCCGTAGCTGCTTGAGCAGCAGTTACAGCGCTAAAATTCAGCAAGAAGGTTTTCGCTATCAGCGTTTTCATGTCGACCAATTGTATACTGTGATTATTGGTGTCGGCCACATATAAAAGTTGGCCGCTGGCATCAAAACATAGACCGGCCGGCTCATTTAATTGTAATGTAGCGTCGCTTTCATCTTTGATCAATAGAGTTTCTACTGAGCTTGCGGTAGTATCAATCACTTTGATTTTATGATTATAGGTGTCGGCTACGTAGATTTTATCAGTTACGCTATTGTAAGCGACTGCCAATGGATGCTGCAACTTTGCATTATACTGCTTTCCATCTACATCACCGAAGGCGAATAAATTCTGCAAAGAAAAAACATTTTATCGTTACTATTTAAACTTTTGTAACATTTTTTCACATTTACCAAAGGATTACGATCGCCACCCACAACCGGCATCACTTTGCCGTCCACCATTGAGACCTTGCGTATGCTGGAGCTCTCGCTATCCGCAATGAAGAGGAAATTCTTCGCCAATGCCAAGCCAGAGGGTTGCGCAAACGCCGCGTTTTGTGGATAAGAGTTATTACGATTCTCCTCCATGCCATTGCCGCATATAGCAAGACAAGTACGCGGATCCAACTGTCTATATTTCCACCAAATTATGCCCTCTGGAAAATAGCCCCATATTTGATGTGTGCCAGCCATGGCCACTAAAACGATTGCCTTCTCAGGCACAATACGCTCATCAACATGAAAGGACATATCCATGTCACGCATCCTAAACGCCGCAATGTCCCAAGGCGATGAGATGGCTTGTAACGGACCCAACTTACCGCCAACACGATCAATACCCTGCTGGCCCGTACCTGCTAGAGTTTCAACGCGACGTGTGCTCAATGTAACCTGTCGCAACGCATGATTCTCTGTATCGGCCACGATTAATACATCATCGTCAAGGAAATCCAGTCCTTGAGGTGAGTTAAAACGTGCCGTCTCAAAATCTCCATCCACAAAACCAGCACTGCAGCCACCAATTCGTTGGTGTACCACACCTTCGCTATCGAAAATCAAAATACGATGATTACCCGCATCGGCCACAGCAAAGCGTCCATTTTCACTACGAGCAATTTTAGCCGGAAAACGCAAGTTTGAGGCAGGCAAAGAATCTGTGGCCAGTTTCAGTGGCAGTTCAGCATTATCAATTTCACCTTTTGCTTTATAATGACGTAATGCCTGCTCGGTGAAGCATTGTAGAAAAACGCCGTGACCTTCACCCATCAGCAGTAGCATTGGCGCACCTGATGGATTCAGTACCAGCAGCGATGGCCAACAGCGTATGCCTATGGCACGCCACAATGTCATGCGTGCATCATTCACGATTGGATGCGTAATGCCATAACGTTGTACTGCGGAGAGTATATTTGCGCCATCCTTTTCATTTTCGAATTTTGGACTGTGTACACCAACTACAACGAGCCCACTTTCGGGTGGGAAGAGCTCTTCAAGTGCATGCAGATCCGGTAAAATGTGCATGCAGTTTATACAGCAATACGTGAAGAAATCTAGTACCACCAGCTTGCCCCGCAGCGACTTCAAAGGTAACGGGCGTGTAACATTGAACCAATCGAGATCTGTAAACAAAATTTGGTAGAATTCTAAAACCAATAAAGAATCAAGTATTTCAAACCATCTTGAAACTCGATTTTCATTTTCTTCACAGGCGCGAGTGCGTCATCTGCATCCCAACGACAGAGGAAGTCAGAAATAACTTTTGCTTTCTCTGTGCCATCTTTGGCACGACGGAAACGCCCCTGTAGCTCTTCAGTAGTATAAGCCAATATGTCCATGGGGTCCAATGGCTCCGAATCCATTATTGAGCCTTGCAACTGCTTATTAAATACACCAAGAATATTTATGCAGTTGCGCCAAAACCTTTTCACTGGCGATGCAATTTTGCTTGTTGTATAAATGGAAAAATATAATAGATAAACAAATATGTAAGGAATGCAGCAAATCTGGACGATGATGAAAGACAGCCGTTGAATATTGCCACATTAACTAAATGTAGAAAATCATAATTTGATCTGAGTGGCAACGAGTAAAACGATCTAGAACGGCAGCACTGTTACTCGTGGGCAAGAAGTGTTGTGTCGACAACACTGAAGCGCAAAACGACGTCGGAACTCAGTTCGGAAATAGTTAAGCGGAAACAATTGGACGGAAATTGCAGAAATCGTAAGCTAAATGAATAATCAAAGTGGGTAGTGTGCTATTGTGTGTTTTAATATCGCGCTAATGTAAAAAGTTATTAATAATAACAAATGCATCATAAAATAGGGTTTAAGAGCTTCTGGCAAGAAAATTGTGTGTGATTGAACTTCTTAAGGAATTCAACCTACCGCCGTGCCTTGGCTTCACTAGCAAAAGCTGATAATACCTAAATTGAGCATTAAATTACGAGGTTTTGAATCAGAAAGGCTTCCAAAGTGGAATTAAAAGATGAATTTATGTATGTACATGTGAAAAAAATATATTGCTAATTGTGCGAAAAAACTGTGCTTCGGTGGCTGCAAGAAGCAATTAAGTTGCTGTGTATAATTTATTTTTTCTTTTGTTAAGATGGCGGCGTCCGCACGACAGTCGCCTCTATCGCGCTTGAAGCGATAACAAAGATGGCAGACTTGCTCGTTCCCACGAGAGTCGGGTCTACGTAACCGGAACGACCCAGATTTATATCTGGCCAAGGACTGTCACTCCAGCAACACTCCCCAAATAGTCTTTGGGGAGTTTGTATGCTGTTACAACAACAACAACATGGCAGACTTGCTCAAACGGTGAGCAGTTTATTACTCTACTTTATTACTTTAGCATAAGATAAATGGAGGTGCAGATATAAAAAGTGTCTTTGTTCACACTTATCTGGTTAAAAATTATTATTTTGTAGTGTATTTTATTGTTGTAAACTAAAGACAAATTTTAACCACATAACCAGATAACCAGATAACCTGTTCACCACGCAACCACAGTGTTTTTTAAGAAGTTGCGACAATGTTGCGACAATGTTGCGAATTAAATAAGAGAAGTGATAAATAGTGAAGTAAATCGAGCTGTCTATAGAAATGGAATCGAAATATGTGTTAAACTCCGGAATCAAGAATGTATTCCTGATTGTGCTACTACAACGATTTAAAATCTGTACATCTGTGGCTGCAAAAAGCAATGAAGCAGGTGAGTGAATTTATTTATTGTTCGTGATTATTCTGTTGTGTTTATTATAACTTTGTATAACGTGGCCGCTGTAGGCGAATGACTAGAGATTCATACTACCACCTCCTAATGTATTTCTGCCATGAAAAGGCTTTTCATAAAACCATTTGCCGTTTGGAGACGGCGAAAATGGTGCATATGTAGATAAGGTACTGCCCGATAGAAAATTACGCTCACAGAAGTGCTCAATCGCCTTCAGCCTGTTTGCAATAGACTCGAAATAAATTTTTGTTTATCCGCTACTCCAATCGGCGACAACAATAACAACGTTAATCAAATAATCTGTTTCAAAAAGCTAACTGCACTGCTTATAAGATATTTGAAGTGCGCCGAAAACTATTTTCTGAGAGCTAAAGACATGATTATTGCATTTAAGTAGAATTGTAAGTGTATCTTACAGTAGCACACTATCATTTTTTTTTTTTGTTTAAATTCTATTATGTCAATACATAGCTCCTTTCGAGTAGAGCTAAAGAAATTTTTCAAACACAAAATTGCCTTGATCCGAAGATATTTATATTTTTTATTGTATAAAATAAAGGAACATCATAATTTGTTGAAGTGTGTACTTAAAATTGATAGTTTCTTTTACACTTGCATGTGAAGTGTGTGCCGTTATTGATACAAACATTTAATAAATTTTATGTAAAATACATAATAATGTGTGCTAATAATGTTTAAATATATATGTATGTATATTATATACATATGTGAATATATGTATGTATGTTATACAAATTTTTTTATTTATATATTTTGTGATAAAATATTCTTTCTTCTTCATAAATGTATATTCTGTATAGAAAGTCCTTAAATATTTCATTTCATTATTATTTTTAAGATTAAGAGAGAGAGACAT